GTAAGAAAAGTAATGCTTTTTATACTGTTTTGTGGTTCATGACAGAGTTTGTGCTATTTGGGACGATAAAACAACACTGAGGCTAGGAAACTAAAGGCTTTTGTACCTTCTTGTGAAGAGGAAATTTTGAAACTTATTTCCCGTGAGACACCCATTTCTAGAAAATAGCCATCTTTTGAAGTCGAAGCCAGCAGGGCTTTTCTTGGGCAGCAAGGGAAGTGTTTGCAGGTTCCATAAGGACCACTGTCCCCGGGCCATGCGATGAAAGGAAAAGGGGTATCTCTTGAGGACAGGTGTGGTGTTAGAAGCAGCTTGGCTCCTCCTGACTGTTTCTGATGCTAAAAAAATTTATATCATGTGTGCAGTTACTGTGAAACCCAAGCCCAGATCATGAGAGAAACCCTTATTTTCAGCAGTTCAGAAGAATACTGATAAGCATCTTATTAACTTACATATTCTAAGTCTCAGCATCTATGAAAAGCCAAATGAAAGGAAAATGAATGTCACATCTCAAGACTTTGTGTTGGTGTCCAAATGCTGATGTGCTCGGACAACTATGCAACCTGGTATAGAACTTCTGGCCTATAAAATCGTGATTATGGAGGGGAAAGATATGGAACATTGTCCTCTGAAATTCTGAGGGAGGACTGGTGTGCTTCATCTGGATTTCAGAACTGATTCCATAAAAACCCCCAATGAAACAAGCACAGATTGCAGCTCTCTTGTCCTAGGAGTTAATACTGCAGAACTTTGCCATGCTTTGTACTTCCAAATATCAAGCTACTGCTTCAGTTCTTATTATGCTTTTAAAAGTCTAACTTTGGGCATGCAAGTTTGGAGATGTGTGGAGATACTAAAGCAATGGCAATATATCCTTCGCTGGGAAGGAAAAAGTAAGGGCAGTCATTTGATCTTAGTAGTGTAGTTTTGCAGAAAAAATAAGTCATCTTCAGGACCTAGCTGAAAATTGAGTGGTTGCATAATTGAATATTAAAGTTTCTAGTATTTATCCTATTCACTCCCTTGGTAGTTGTGTTTTTGATACTCTGAACATAAAATAACCCCATAACAAAATTGAATTTAGAAATTAAGGGGATGAGACATTGAACTGGTGCCTGCTACTTCATCATCTTTTCATAGGTTTCGTGCCCTGATAGAATACTGAACAGTTTGTAAGTGAGTACAGCTTTTTAGCTTTTGTATGCCACCGTGAATTTGTGAGGTGAGTGTAGTTGCTACCCAAGGATTGCAGTACTTGTTGTTAGGTTACCCAGAGCCTGAATGCTCAAGTAATTCACAATATAATCTTGTAAGCCTGCAGTTTTTGTATCTAAATGCCTTGTAGTTGGCATAGACAAAAAACAGGTGGTCTCTTCCAACATCTCAGCAGGTTCATTAGATTAGCTTATTATTCAGACTGGACATCATTTTTATAAAACATATCATTACATATTTAGTGATTTGTTAATATGCCACCAAGTGCAGTGATGCGTCATTACAACTAATCTTAGTTGCCAAAATAAATTAATGAGGTATATCTGTTAGAACTACATCTTTTATGTTTTTATATTCTTTCTATTTGCTTTCTTAGGAAATTGCTTTGTTTAGTAAATCTGAAGACACTTTTCCTGTCATTAATTCAAAATAGATGTGAAAGGAAATTTTTGTTCAGATACAGTCCATTTTGCTTCAAAATTACTTTTTTAAAATGGCTTTTGGTATAGCAAAGGGAAATTATTTTATGTTTTTTTAATGTAGGGTATGTTAGGTTTTTTCCATGAGTTTCGCACCAATATTTTGTGCATGGGTGTAAGGGAAACATGTTGCATACCCCACCTTCGGAGCAGGTGTCAGCAGATTACAAGTTCCAGTATCAGGTTGGCTCTACTGTGTAATACAACTATGTGGTAAAACCTGTACAGATGTTGGTTGGTAGAGACAAGCTGTCCTGGCCTGTTCAGTGCTGCAGGAAGAACAGCAGGCAGGGAAAAAGATAACAGCTCCTTCTTAAAAGGACTCATCTCACCGAGGCAAATTAAAACCACTGTGTCATTTCCTCTCACGTGTTGTTTAACAGTGTGCCTATGACCAACCTTTCAGTACTCTGTCTTTTTGGTATAATTTAGTCTTCTGCCCAATTTATTTTCTGTTACCAGCTTATATTTCTGAAATGTATCCATGCTGGAGAATTAAGTGAGAAAAGTATGGACTGTGCTTTCTATGCTGATGATAAGTTACATCCTTCTGTTTGCAGGAATGGAAATAGAGTTACAGTGGCTCAGTGGTTACATGTTTCAGTGATGCAGTATGTTTTTACCTTGGAGCACCTGATTAGAAATTATATGCCTATGCCATAAAAGGAGGAAAAGAGGATGTGTCCAGTTTATGGTGGTATGTGCTGGTTCCTCAACTCTGTGCTCTCTTTGGAGGGAGAATCCCTGCGGTGAATCTGGCATAACAATACCAGCTCCTTACAGTATGTGTTTCAGACAGGCAAGAGTTGAATATTATGTTACTCCGTATTTGTATGGAGCATCAACAGCCATAGCATCAGCGAGTTGGAGGTGCTTGTAAAGCAGTCTTGAGTATTGCAGATTTAAATTTGTAATTCAAAGTCAGAATGTGATAACTGCTTCTGACTCCATTCTGCAATTCTGGTTTAAAAACATCTTACTAAGAATTCAGTTATGAGAGATGACAAATGTCCTTATTCTTTGTTTATTTGGTACTCTATTACAGTTTGCCAAAGGACAGCAGTCACCCTCACTGTTCAGAAAATATAAAAGAGGAAGGACAGTAGGCTTTTGGTTTGTCAATTGCTCTTTTGTAAGCAGGGATAATTGATTTATTTGTTCTCACAGGGTGGTTCCTCTATACCTGAAGGTTGGTTTGGTTTTTGGTTTCCTTTTTTCTTCATAGCTATGGGCATTTATTAATTTCTTCTACTGATTATCTTAAAGAGCTTGGTCTCCTCCTCTTATTGCACTGCACCTTAGATAATTGGATTGAGTGGTGAAAAGGATGATGTAAGTCAGCAGCTTTCCAGACTTTTGACATTTCATAAACCAGCTTTTTATGGATGTCAGTTGCTATATAGAGTCGGTGCCTGGGAATTTGGATTCCGGAGAGCAGTGTTTTTCAATATTGCAAAATCATATTTTCTTCTTGCTAGAAAAGACATCTTTGCTAGCTGGTTTTGTGATGGCTGAAGGTTCATAGACTTCTTGTATGCCTTCCATTGCCACAGTGTCACATTACTTTTGAGAACAGAGGTGTCAATGTGGGGGCAATAAATACTAGTATTTACTTATTTTTTATTAAGTAAAAATGTATCCAGTCTCACTGTGATGTTCATAATCACTCTAAAGGTCAGATTTTTCTCAGGTTAAAGTTTTTCTGCTTTGCATCGTTTACTTGGCTGTGGCATTTAGTACTGTTACAAGAAAATACAGATAGGATTTTTGTTTAATTTTAGAAATAAAATCTGAAATAAAAACTGAAATATGCATAATTCTCTGAGAAGTTCTTATCATAAAAAAGAACTCCCTCTTAGCCATTTGTTAGAGTCTTAGTTTATTTTTTCGTTTAATGTACTTTTTCCTGCAGATCTGCTGTGCTAGTCAGCTAGTTTAATCACTGCCTCTCTGAAAATGTGTTTATAGAGTCTAAAGTGTGTCATTTTCCATCAGAGGGAACCATGATGGGAAGAGGACAAAAGTGTAAATTACCAGTATAAGTGTATTTGTGTGCACCCTTAAAATCTGCAGTTATTCTGACAGTGGCAACTGAGAAGGTGCAAAATTCAGAGGATCTGAAGATCCTTTTAGAAAACTCATCGTTACTCGGGCATGAACTAAGTAGACATGTAGCCAATGGAGTGTTTAAGGAAGATAAAGTAGATCAGCAGTTGCTACTGTTTCAGTTCATCTGAATTCTTGCACATCTTGGGGATTTTTTCCTCAGTCTCAACAGCCTGGTTCGCTGGGTTAGCAGTAATTTTCTAATTAAATGGAATTTCAAAGACAAATGCCAGTTTTTCAGGGCCAAAACTTGTCACAGAAAGGATTGCTTAGAGTTGATCTCCCCACTGACACAGACCAGAGAGAAGGAAGGTTAGCTGTTGCAGCATTCTTTTGGCTCTGTTAACAGCAGAGTGCCCCAACTCTCACTGGCTTTGCAAACATTAAGGCTAGTCAGCACTTATAAAGCTTACTTAATGTCTCAGACCTAAGACTGGAAGCCACTTGGCAGAGACGGTAACATTAGACTTACCAGTATGTGGCTTAAAAAGGCTAATACTATTGGACTTTGATCCATTGTCATACTTGTGAAAGGACAGTCCTGCAAGTACTCAAGTATTTGATGAACCTAGTTTATTCATTTCCTGTGGAGTCAGCCTAAAGTCATCTTGTGCACCTCAAGATATTTTCCCAGTCCCTTTTTTCCATTCTTTCTTAACGTGTGGTGATGCATTTAAGGCCCAATTTCTCAAGCATGTTCTTTAACCTTTTTCTTTTTTAGTTTTTACTCATCAAGAAGATAATCAGCTTTCTGACTAATAGTTTTGGACCAATGTGCTGTGTGCTGCTGTGCTGATACTCTCCAAAATCTATATCCTCTAGAAATCAACAGGAACATGATTCAAGCAGTCCAGAAAAAATAAAACATAAACCTTTTTCTAGGGAAGCTGTAATTTAATGTAATCTTCAGCAGACATTTTATAGACTTGAGAATCCATAGTTTTCCAGACAAGTTGTAGAGGACCCTCATTGCTGGGACCTGTGAACTCAAACGCATTTGTTCTTCCCTACCCATTTGATCTCTGTTCCACCTGTTTTATGTGCCTTGCCCGTGATGATTTTCTTTTGTTCAGTGTTCTGCTGAAGAGTGCGTGAGCTGAGACCTTCCTGGGACAAGTCACCTAAGTTTAGGTCTCTGCTAGTAACGTGAGTGTCTAATTGCAGTTGTTTTTAATGACTGGGAGTTTCTTTTGTTACTAGGTAATGCAGATGTATCTTCCATTCTGTGGGATTGCCATATCCAATGCCCAGCTATTTGCAGCTTCAAGGAAGGAATATGACAGAAGCAGGGTAAGTAAAAAAAGGTATATTGGACCAATATCAACCCTTCATCTTTTGCTCCTTCAGGAATCCTTCACATTCCAACTATCCATACGTGTTTACTAAGACAGTTTCAACTATGTTTTATTTTAAAAAATGTGTTTTCAACAGATCACTATCTTGACTGAGGCAGCAAGCAGAGAGTGTGGGAGGGAAATACGCTCATGGTGATGGCTGTTGTTTCCTGATGTCAATTCCATGTTTTGTAGTGCTGAAACAATTGCAGTTGTGACACAGACGGTGCAGGAGAGAGTGTTACTTTGGCAGAGATTCAAACTTCTATAAAATTCCAGTAATATAAACCCTTTGCCATCCTGAATTTGTAATATTCAATTCATGTGCAAATAATGTGGGCATATCTTTATAAAAGTAAGCCAGAAAAACCCTGTATGCGAAGGGTTTTGACAGCATGTGTCTGCATAGACACATTACTCATGTTACTCATGAGTGCTGATGCCATGGATGAGTTGGGACAGGAGGCTCTAAAGAAGTGAAAATAATGCTGAGCTCACATGTCATTTACTTCTCAGAGAGGTCTTTATTAAGAAATAAAATGCTAATTTTGAGGTTGTTTGGTTATTTGGCTTTTTTAAAATCATGTTTCCTGTAGTGATGGGAAATGATACTTTTATTATTGTGGATCACAGCTCCAGAGCTTCAGTAGAAATACCACTGGTAGTGTGAAACCTATTCTTGCTTCACAAAGAAGGGGAAACTACAGTGGGGTGGGTCTCTGTGTTGACGACAGACATTTGCACGTTCAGAATTTTGGTGCTTTCTAAGTATAGAAACAAATACTTTTCCACTGCTTTTAAAACTAACAACAGCCCTATCTAATGGTGTGTATATTTAAGGGTCATGAAGTATCTGAGCTTGTCATCTGCCCAAGTCTGACCACAGACTACTATACTTTGGGGTGGAGATATGGGGGAGACCTAGGGAAAAAAGGTTTTTCTGGCAAAGATTTTTTTCTGTTTGATGTTCAAACAAAATAATTGTTTGACTACATAGCGACTTAAAATTTGCTGCAGATTCCCAGCCTGCAGGGAACAGTGACAGACTTTTGAGGAGTCAGTGTTTAATCTTCTGAGGGAGGCATTCAACAAAAAACTATTGGGGACATTCTCATTCTTCTTTAGAAAATGGTAAATTCTGGTGGTTGGCCACATCAGGAAATTGGATTAGAAATACAGATTCTTTGTTTCTTGTTGCCACTTCAGCCATGCGAGGTGTAACAAATATAACTGCCATTTGACAGCTACATGGTGGCCTGTATTTAATTGCATTTCTGACCTGTTGGTGGTCTTTAGCTTTGTCTTGTCCGTGGTTGAAACTAGTTGGCAAGTAGTATGTGATGGATGAGCCCAAACTTTGCCTTCCCTATGGACCTGGAAACCAATGGTGGCAACTTGCAGTGACTGTGACCAACATTTTGGTGATGACCGCTGCGTTGGGAGACATAAGACCACTGATGTTTATATGCTTACCATATGGATGTTCTTTGGTGTCACTGCCCTAAACCAGAACAAAGGAAAAAGCATGCTGCTTTGAACCTGTGATAAGAAAGAATACAGCCTATTATTTCTGGAGTTGAAGAAATGAGAGGGGAAGCCCTTCATTTAAAACACTGTATTTTACAGACAAGGTGTTAGTGGTAAAGACTGGACCGGAGTGCTATTGGACTATGGAAGTATTTATGTGGGTGTTTTTCTTTCAGCTTTGAACATGCAAAATGGGTAATAAATTAATAAAATGGAGTTAAAATGCACCAGCAAATTGGATATAGCAAATCACCTAACTCAGTCTATACTCTGTACTTGGAGAGTTGCATTACAGCTATTATTCCATTTTTGTACAACAGTGAAATAGTTCAGAAGATCCCATTGTTTGCTAGGAATTGGATTGCGCCCAGTTCTGAGCTAAGAAATACTTCTTTCTTTCTTTCTTCAGATACCCCCACCCTAATTCTGTTGCTACAATCATTAAGAACTTTATCTGGATGAAGATTTCAGTGGATCACTCATATTAAAATCGACCCCAGGCATTATGCCTCCTTTGCCATGCTCCATATGTGTATTAATTCTACAACCAATGCAAGAATTTTCTGTCCTTGTATGCAGGCTTTACTGGAAGTAGTGAATGACCTCTTTGAGGAACAGACTGACTTAGAGAAAATTGTCAAGAAGATTATGCACCGGGCCCAGACTCTGCTGAAGTGTGAACGGTGCTCAGTGTTACTTCTGGAAGATATCGAATCGCCAGTAAGTATGGCTGCACATTCCGTGAACAGGCTAATATTCACGTGGTGGAGGAGCTGCTTTTATTGTGGTGAAGCTGTTTCACATCACATGTAAGTATTGAACAGCAAGTAGTCTTCCATCATGTAATTCTTAAATTTAGGTTTGGTACAGGTTGAACCTTTATCAACACCACAGTTGTGTTTTAACCTCGGCAGGCAGCTAAGCCCCACGCAGCCACTCGCCCATTTCCCCACCCCAGTGGGATGGGGAAGGGAGTTGGGAGGGTAAAAGTGTGAAAACTTGTGGGTTGAGATAAAGACTGTTTTGTAGGTAAACCAAAAGCTGTGTGCACAAACAAAACAAAACAAGGAATTCATATGCTGCTTCCAGTCAGCAGGCAGGTGTTCTGTCATTTCCAGGGAAGCAGGGTTTCATCACCTGTAGTAGTTCCTTGGGAAGACAGGCCATAACTCTCAAAGTGCCTCACTTCCTCTTCCTTCCCTCAGCTCTTATTGCTGAGCGTGATGTGATATGGTCTGGGATATCCCTTTGGTCAGCTGTCCCGGCTCTGTCCCCTCCCAATCCATTGTGCCCCCCCAGTCTGTTCACTAGGGTGGCAGAGTGAGAAACAGAAGACCTTGACACTGTGTAAGCACTGTTCAGTGATAATAAAAACATCCCTGTGTTACCAACGCTGCTTTCACCACAAATCTAAAACGTCACCTACAAGGTACCAAGGAGAAAGTTGCCAGAAACAGCATAGTCACTCACATAGAAACCGAAAGGTATGTTTGTGATGCCTTCTGGTCGTTGGAGGTATTTAATGGGTTGTGAGTTGCTGATAGATCTGTCAGTGGTGTGATCCAGCTGACAGCTGTGATTCTCAGTTGTGTGTGTGATGGAATTAGTGCTTACTACAGAGAAAGTAGGACAGCCTAACTGAGAAGCAAGATGCTCCTGTGGTCTGCTTAAAAAAGGAAAATGACATGATTTGTTATCAAATATTAATTTTCTGACTTCCTTTCTTTTGTGCTATAGCCACTAGAAAGAAAGAAAAATCCTGTCTTTTTAGCTTTATTTGAGTTTACCTGGAATTTATGACCGTGCTAACTTTTTCAGGCTACTGGCTTATCAAATGGGTGGTGCTTGCAAGCAGTTTCAGAACCAGAAAGAGCATCACCAACTAAATCTTTAATGCTCATTTTTAGAACTAACATTTCTGCATACACTCCGATAAGTAATTATTCAGACATCTTTGTTGATTTTTCTACAGTGTTTGTACTTTTGCATCTGTTATTGTTGTTTAACTGTAGCAATGTGAAATACTTATGTAGTTTCTATTCTAGTATGTAACATGTTATCAGGAAGAAATTCTTCCTGGAGAGGGTGGTGAAGCACTGGAACAGGTTGCCCGGAGAAGCTGTGGATGCCCCATCCCTGGCTGTCTTCAAGGCCAGGCTGGATGAGGCTTGGAGCAACCTGGTCTAGTGGAAGGTGTCCCTGCCCATGGCAGGGGATTGGAACTGGATGGGCTTTAAGGTCCCTTCCCACCCAAACCCTTCTATGATTCTATGTTACATCTGCATTCAGACTACTGGTCCCTCAGAAGTAGCAGAGAAAAAGAAACTCATTGCACATTTGTAACTGGCCATCCTGTGTGTTCAGCAATTCGGTGGGCTTTGCAGCAGTCAGTGTCTTCACAGTAGTCAGGTCAGCTTCTGAACTTCTGGTGAACTTTTTTTTGTGATGTACACTGTTTTTAATGTGAAAGAACAGCAAGACAGTAAGGGCTGAACCTGACACACAGGGAGTTTTTTCAGCTACTTTTGGTGGCCACTACTCCATGGGATTTGTTCCTTCCTGAAAGTTTTCCACTCACTCTAGCTGTTGGTGGGGGGTGTGTTTGGGATTAGCTATGTTTGCATGTTTTAACAAGTTTCTTTAATACTTTGCAAAATAAATAATGAGGACCAGTCTCAGCTCCTAAACGATGAAAATGCCATGAAAAGAGAAATCCTCTTGTTATTTTGACCTGGTAATTGTTCCCTGAGGTAACAGAAAAATTCATTGGAAAAGACATGTGTGCATACAAATGTCTAGTTACATACTTATTCTTGTGGTAGGAGGAAGCTTTTGTGTTGAGCAGGTGAAGTGAAAACACAACTTTCGGCAGTACTGAAGTATGGTTGTATTTTTGTAGTTGGTCTGTCCACCTGTCCAAGGAATAATTATTTCATTGCAGAGCTCTGTTAAGTTGCACAGATTGGATGCAAGATACATGAAAGCATTTGTCAAGACTTGGGTTTCATGCACAGTTCTGAGAGGGGCTTTCACTGGCACTTGGTAGCACTGCCGTTTGTAGGGTATGACAGCCTCTTCAAAAATGTTTAACATCTTAATGGCTATTGTTATTAGTAGTACAATGTCACTGCCATATATTGGTGGCTCCCCTCAGGATTTTTAGGCTATTCAATGCAAACTATCATCCTTTCTACTGATTTGAGGAGTAGTTGAAGGATAAAAATGTTGCTTGTAATATTATTCTTTTTTCTATCCCAGTATCTCTGGATTCACTGACTCCGTAACTGATTATTTGATGCTGGGCTGTGACAAGTCTAAATGATTATCAGGGAGACAGAATCTTCAGTATGTGTGTATGACAGAAAAAAACCCTCTTATTTTCTTTCCTGGGGGAAAGATAGGATTCTCATTTCATTTAAGCTAATAGAAATTAAGTACATTGAGTGGGGGATGACTTAAATTACACTAGCTTTCATAAAAAGAGGATTGAGGGTTGTATTTCATTTATATATTCCCTGTTATATAATTTTAATGTTTCTAGTTTATTTTCTCTTCCCCCCCCCCCCCCACTGATTTTGTAATTAGAAGATGCAGTTCTACTACATTCTTATGAAATGCCACTATGTTTGCAAGTATAATATGATTTTTTGTTTTTTAACAGTACATTGTATTAGTAGCAGGCTGTGGGTGGCATTGTTCACTTCATTTTTCTGCTCCTGGTACTATTTCTACCTTTGAGCACACAGGGTTGTTTTTTTTCCAAACCACAGACAATGAGTTCTTGTCCCTCTAGACTGAATTCTGAAATTTGGACAGCCAAGGTAGTCAGTTAAACCGAAATTTTTTTTCCAAACACTTGTAAATCTTAGGTTAATTTGGAGTAGGAAAGTATCATCCTGCCACCCACTTGGTCATTTTTGAGTAGCAAAACAGTTATTTTCCTGATTTCCCCCTGTTTTGGAAGGTTTGCCTATGTATCAAAATAGTTTGCCACGGAGTAAGTCAGTGTTAAGACTTGTCTAAAACATTGTCATTTCTACACCACGTGAAAAGCTTTTACAATACAGAACCAGAGTTGGAAGATGGAGACTCATACCAGCATCCAAAAACATTGCCTGTGTTCTGTGGTGTCACATTAGCCACTCTTAAAACATTTCACTTACGTGCTTCTGGCATGTATGTTCTAAGAAAATGGGTCGCAATTAGTAGTGCAAATGGGTCTTTCTGCTTATTTTTCTACATTAAAAATAGCAAAGTTTGGGTAAAGCTCCATAATTCATGTTCCAAAGCCTTTTGGAGGGAAGCATATACTTTTGCAGAAAATAGTTTGATGAAGAAATATAATGATATTATTTGATTTGATAAATTTTGTTACTGAACTGTGCACAGTGTGTGTTTTGAACATGAATTCTCCATTGGAGGAATACGGACTGAATCTTTATTCTAAGACCATTAGATAAAATATGGTTTAAATATAGGAGCCTTACATTAGTTTTCTTACATGTTTATTCATCTTAATAACCATTTTAAATTACTTTTTTTTGTGACAGGTGGTGAAATTTACAAAATCCTTTGAGTTGTTATCTCCAAAATGCAGTGCTGATACCGACAACAGGTTAGTGCTCGTGTCTTCTCTGGTAATGGATTACTTTCTTTCATATAGTTTTAAATTTGCTTGATCATAGTTTTGTTTTCATATGGAGGTTTGTGTAGATTTGAATGAATAGTCTCAGCATACCCGTTTTACTCAGACAAGACTCCTGCTTGCTTCAAGTGGAGACCTGATGGGATAAATATACATGCCTATGTTTTTATATATATGTGTGTGTATATATATGTGATAATATTGTATCAGTGTTGCACAGAAGAAACCAGGAAATAACTGATGTCTTTTCATTGTTGAACTTGTGGAGAACACACGAAAGTTGTTTTGCACGGTGAATGCTGAAGTAAAAATTATGGAATTATTTTAGATTGTTTGTTGATCTCTTACAAAATGCCTGCTTCCAGTTGTGTTGAGCGCCTTCCAGTAGAATTTTATTTCTGCTCTTGTAATCAAATTGGAAAGCCTGAAAGCCTCAGAGAACATGTATTTCCTAGAAGTTGTGTTTCTGTGACAAGACCTTGTTTGGGAACCCAGTCAAAATAAAGTTTTTTTTTGTAGTACGATCTATATTTAGACAGTGATAAAGAGCTAATTGTTAGTACTAATACAAAGAGCTTTTTGTCCATGTGGGGTTACTGTATTAATTCCTACAACTGGTAGCGGTTCACAAGATGTCCTACAAACCAAACGAGCGGATGAAGATTCAGGACTATTGCGAGAAGGGTTCTCCTGTCTTTCAGGGCCCAAACTCCCTGATTGTCATACACATTTTATGCAAATCAATTCATACTTCTTCTGAATTAGACATTTCCATGTCAAATGACTGCTATAATGATAAACTTAGCCTTCTGTCCCACTTGCTATCCACAGCCAAACAAATTTAAGATTATTTTGTTCTTTGCCATATTTAAACCCTTAAAGCAGCTTTAAAAATATTTTTGCCGCCTTTTGTGCTTTATTTGTTCACCTCCAGTGTGGTAAGAAGCTGCTATTCCATTAAGGTGAATATGCAAATTGCACTCTGGATTACGACAGGTTGTAATTTTTAGTGATATTCATGGATCAATCTTGGTGTTACAAAATGAGGTATTGTTCTTTTTAAAATGTGCAGAGTCTAGGGCCACACAGGAAGACAGGTAGAAGCTAAATCTCTTCCATGCCTATCCAGTAGTTGAGAGATGGGAATGGTGAGACAGATGGAAAAGGAAAGCAAGTTGCAAAACCCAGGAATGTTTAAATATAAGTAAATAATCTGCTGATTCATCTGGGAATCACAAGTAACTGCATTTGACAGAGAAGTTCAGAGCAGCAGTTGGTCTTTCATAGGTCAGTTAAACTGTTGAAAATACATTTCTTTTGTTCAGGGACAGGAGTATGAATCAAGAGATGTGGTTGTTAGTCCTGTTTTTCTCAAACTTGATCTGTAGCCAGATTAGTCAAAACAATGTAGAGTGGTGTCAAGATAACCAAGCTGGCTCATTTCTTGTTACCATAGTTATATTAGCATGTTACCAAAAAGCAGTTTGTAGTAGCCTGCTCTGCATGTAGTCAAGATTATTTTATCTTTAGTCTGAGATAGGAATAAACACATGCAACCTGGTAGCTAGTCTTTATAAGGTTTATAAAGCCATATTTCTGTCTCTCTCATATAAAGGTTTATTGCTATTTCTTTTACTTTTCATCCAGTGGAGAGTGAAGTTGGTTTTACAGAGACCAAGATTAGACTGGCAGATATGATGTCACATTTGGATCTAGCACAGGCACAGCTTGAGTTATTGGCACTATAGAGGGAAAATAAAGGTTATTTAGGATGCAGAACAATGCCGCGAGCCCTTGACATTTGAGCATTTTTCTAGTGAGTTTTGCCCTTTTCATTCTACATTCTGCAGGTCTAACTGATGTAAAGACAAGGAATGTTTCATGTGGGAAAAAATGGCAAGATGAGTTTGTTTATCATCACACCAAGTGAAGATAAATACTATGTCTTTGAAATTTTAGTGGAAACTAGAAGGGATTATAGGTTGGGAACAGTTCTAATGTAAGTTTTATCTGAAAGAGAAAGAAGCTCCAAGGACAGTATAGCTTTTTATGTCCTAACACACTTTCTCATACAGTTTTAGAATAAATTAGCTTTACTTTTGCCCTTCTTACATCTGGCTAATAACAGTTCACTGTTTTGACCCTAAATATTGTAGTGAATACTCATATGTTTTTTCTTTGCTGTTGGTTGGAAAGAAATACCTTGCAAGACCACACTTGCATTTATCTGTTCAGTTTGCAATTTTCCAGCACACGCCCTGATCAAGTTTGTTTACCCACAGTGATGCTCTCCTTTTTGCCAATCATTTTGTTCTTGAAGTATGGGTTTGCCAAGTCTCCTAAATTTTCTCTTCCTTTGAAACAAGATTATGTAAATCTTAGAAGCCTTGAGGGTTCAGTTCTGATCTGTTCTGGATGATAATGAGCCCGAGGGATGGTGCTGTGGGCTATGTCTTTCCTGCACAGGAGAATTCATCTTGGCAGATGAAGTAGCTGAGATTCCAGCTCTCAATCCTGAGTACCAGTGGTAGTGGAAAAGGTTAGCTGTCAGAGGTAGAGTGTGGGTTGTGTAGGAGGAAATATCAGTCTCCCTCCCACTTGTGCTGGTACAGAGAAAATGCTGAAGTCCCTGCTACCGCCATGTCATCAGTACTGTCCCTGGCATGATATGCACTCAGGTATCACCCCACTCCCTGCAGTATTTCTATGCTTAAAGCATCTTTCTGCTCTTCTAGTCCTAAGAGCTGGAAGGATTCGTGTCACTGTTTAGAGACGATCAAAGGTACCTGTGATTTTGGCTGTACCACTTCCCTACTGTGCTTTCCGCCATCCCTGTCAGGGAGGCTCTGGGGGAAGAGAGCAGTGCAAACAGCTTCATAAAGGGAGTCTGCAGCACTGCTTGGTGCTCTTGAGCTGGGTGTCCTCTCTTGCCTGGCATGCAGTGCTCCTGCTGCTGCGTAGGCAGGACAGGGAGACAGTGGAATGCTGCTGCCTGCCTCAGTCCAGCAGGACTCACTCATGGCTTTCCATAGCTTGGAGAAAATTGTTGCTTGTGGTTTTTAGAGTGGCTTCTGAGTGTTCTGAGCAGCTGAGGGTGGAGGGAGCCAGCTGGCTGTCATTTCCATCAGACTTAAGCACTGATATTTCCTCCTACTGGAAGCTGAGTGCCTCTATTCCAGAGTGTATCTGTAAAGCACTTGCTAGGAATGAAGGCGATGTAGTAGAACATACTTTTAAAATTTCTTCCTGAATTATATCTTGTTTCTTTTACTTGAATTAATTTGCTGCTTAAAATGTTTGACACCCATAATCCAGTCTCAATTCAAAGTGTTGTATATTATAATATCATCCAGATTTGTAAGGTATGAACTGGGAGCTCTGCATTTGAAATTAGATTCTTATCCTTAGAGATTTTTTGCTTCTCAAGTATTGATGTTATGAAATAAATTTTAAGTTATAAACATAAATATTTTACTTAGCTCAAAAACATTATATTTCTGTAAAGGTTCCTGTCAAAGTATGCACATAACATTTATTACAGTCACTTATCCCAAATGAAAGTTGATACGCTTAGATTTATTTGTGTAAATCATTATCTTTATTTATGGTCTTTTAAGAACATTGAGGGTTTTTTTTCAAATGAGTGGCTTAGTTGTATTAGTCTCTAGAAAATCAATGCAGCCAAGAAAAATCGATCCTTTCACTTTGATTGAGTCTTCCAAGCATTTTACTGTGCATCCTTCTTTCATTCATGTGCATTACTTTGAGGCTTCAAGCTGTTGTAGTCTTTTCCATGGCTGTTCACAGTCACTTTTTTCTAAGTGAAGTTTCTCAGGTGTTGAAAATTGATCCATTTTCTTCTCAAAGCCAACACAAACATTCATTGTTTATTCACACATGAATAGCTACCTCTTGCTAATGTCAAAAGCCTGTCGGCAATAAATCAGTGGGAACCTCCCTGCTGATTAGATGACGTATAAGGTTAGGATTTTAAGGTCTGTGCAGATACTGGGTTTCCTGGAGAAGCTGTGGTGGAGTGTGGTGATTTGAGCCCGTAATTCTAGTGTCTCATTTATTGACAGCTCTCTAGTCCCTCAGTAGTTGTGGCAGAAGCTCAGCCAGGAAAAAAAATTCATAAATTGTATGTCTACTTGAATACACCTGCTGCAACACACTTACATTATTGATTATAAAACTTAGCTTATGATCCTTTCTTCAACCACTCAGGTCTGGCATTTCAGACCAAAATATAAAACAAACAAACAAAAAACACACAAAAAACCCCCAAAAACACACACACAAAAAAAACCCCGAACATGTCCCTTGACAGGAAAATTTTTGAAAGTATGACTTAAAAATACCTCAAAATACTATACTAATTTAAAAAATCTTAAAAATTGCTTACTTTTAGGTAGCCCTACAGGAAATATTATTTAATCCCACAGAAACTTTGAGCATAATCCCATTCTTGACTCATTTCAATATCGTATGCCATATTTACTTTACTTGGAGCACCAATTCACTTTTCAATAGAAAGGTTGTTTAAAGGACAGAATTTTTGATGTACCATTTTAATGAATACCAAATTATTGTTCCATAGATAATGCTTGGTAGCCACTAATAACTGGGCTGTTCTGCTGTTTCTATGAATGTGCCTGTAAAACATGCTGGACTTTTCAAGCAATGTTGATTGTATTCTTTTCTCCCCTGTGACACCTTTTGATAGTTTCAAAGACAGCATGGAGAAATCACCATCTTATTCTGACTGGCTAATAAATAATAGCATTGCTGAACTTGTAGCTTCCACGGGTCTCCCAGTGAACATCAGTGATGCCTATCAGGATCCTCGCTTTGATGCTGAAGTAAGAGATTTTTAGAAATTTAAATAAGTCACATTTTTCCCATTGCAACTAATATAATTTTATAATTATATCCAAGCGGCTGTAAAAGATAAATATTTATTTTGAATTATTTTTTCTATCCAGTATGTCTTCGTTCTGATCTGCTGGTGTTGACATGGCTTTATGCAGTAAACACAGGTCACTGAATTAGTATATTGCTTTAGTCAGTTAATTAGTCTGTCCATGATTCCTTTTTTTTTTTTCTATTCATATGTGATACCTTCCTTTATCAAGTGCTTTGATATTTATGCAAACCTATTTTTATTGCTGAAAATCCCACTGTTGGTGTTTAGTGTTAGCAGCACCATCATTGTTAGCTGTTGGGGTGACTGGGACTGTATACACAGAGTGTAAACAGAACCAGTATCTAGAGGGACAAATGTTGTTTGTGGTCTAACTTAGCCAACTAACCTTTTAATTTGCACAGATAAAATACACACACTGGATTGGTTATTTCTTCAAGATACATATCCCTGCTAATAAAAGTTGTTTGTGTATCCTAAGGTATTCATTCCAGTCTCATTTAGGAAATTGTAGATTTAGATAAAAACATATACATATATTTAACACCTAAATAAATGTTATATAGAAGGCATATAGAAGGACAAAATCTTCACTGAATTCTGCTCAGTGAAACAATATTACTACGGGGGGACTTGGTCAGCAGTTGGGCAGCACATTAATCAGTGGACAGCCTGGGTCAGCAAGCTTGCCAAACTATATTACTACAGTAAGTGTGCTTGGAAGTGTTTCATGTTGAGAGTTTGCTTGGTTTCCAGTTTTATTCCATGTGTCATTAACGGGATTATCTCTCAAGCCAGAAGAATTTGTCAAAACAAGAAAAATAAAAGGGGCCTGCTGTAAAAGTGCACAAGAAAACTGTGGTGACGCTAATTTGTTCAGAATTTCAAAAAGTACAATTAATGCCTGGGATCTATTTCTTGCCAAAGAGATATGCTAAAATAAAGCATGCCAATCCTGGCTATGTTTGCAGTTGTACTTTTAATATATCCTGTCCTGAATAATTCAACTGTGTATTTGCTTCACTGTCAGTCCTTTCCAAGTCAGAGGCACTGCCCAGTTTATATGGAGAAAAAGAAAACAATACAAAGGGCAGTAATCAACTTTTATTGGTGGGTTCCTATGAAAATTTAATTCTTAAATTCAGTTGTTACAATCAGTTATTTCCACAGTCAAGTGTAGTAAGAGGAACATATTATCCCTTATGACTTAGAATTAAACATACTTTTGCAGTTATAAATGGATATTCTGTTCTCTGCTTCTGTTATAAACACTCGCCTTTTTTCTTTTCAAACATTAATTGTCATTTTCAAATGTTGATGCTCAATTTTCAACTCATTCACCAAGAATTTAGCACCAAAGTATTTTCACTGAGTTCATTTTAAGATGTACACCTAAGGTGCTTGGTCCCCTACTCCCATGGATTTCAGGTGGCACTCCAAGGTGATTTCCGTGATGAGTTCAGAGTATGTACAAATCAGCAGTACTCTAGTAAAAAATGAGCTGTATCTTTTGCTAGCTAGGAGATCCCATACTGCAGTGATCCCATCCTGCCTCCAGTGTATGAATTATTGCTGGCCTTTTCTTCTATTGCAGGTTGCCTGTAGCACTGGCAGTTTTAGTAACAGAGCATCTCCTGTGTCAGTTGTTACAATCAGTTATTTCCACAGTCAAGTGTAGTAAGAGGAACATATTATCCCTTATGACTTAGAATTAAACATACTTTTGCAGTTATAAATGGATATTCTGTTCTCTGCTTCTGTTATAAACACTCGCCTTTTTTCTCCCAGAACATTAATTGTCATTTTCAAATGTTGATGCTCAATTTTCAACTCATTCACCAAGAATTTAGCACCAAAGTATTTTCACTGAGTTAATTTTAAGATGTACACCTAAGGTGCTTGGTCCCCTACTCCCATGGATTTCAGGTGGCACTCCAAGGTGATTTCCGTGATGAGTTCAGAGTATGTACAAATCAGCAGTACTCTAGTAAAAAATTAGCTGTATCTTTTGCTAGCTAGGAGATCGCAGTGATCCCATCCTGCCTCCAGTGTATGAATTATTGCTGGCCTTTTCTTCTATTGCAGGTTGCCTGTAGCACTGGCAGTTTTAGTAACAGAGCATCTCCTGTGAGTGGGCTCATCCCACTCTCTAATCCCTTTTGGAAAAATATTTTTTCTGCAGATTTCACTGCAATGACCCTGAAGAATAAAGCTTATTAACCACAGAAAAGAGAGAATCAGTGACACTTAAACTGTAAAGTTTTAGACTATACAAGAGAGAAAACAATAAATGAGGCAGAAATTTCTCTTCTGAAATACAGGACAAATTAAACCTACATTAAAAAATTCTCAAAACTGTTTTGACCTTATCTTTGCATTTCTTCCTAGCTTGCACTTCTGCACAATTCCCTCCTCCCTCTTGCCTGCCTTCTGAAAAGGCATGATTCCTGTAAGCCCCCTTTTACAGCTGCTTTGCTAAATCCAATTTCAATTTGACAATCAGGAAGCATGTTTCTAAGTCCCACTTATTCAATGCAGGTTGTCTCTACTAATCCACCGGTGTAAGTAATCTAGGAATTGTCTGGACATTGCCTCAATTGCAGTTTGTCTTTGATTCCAAATCAGAGTCAAATAGTGTAAGTTTTCTGTGACCCAGATGTTTCTACTTTCTTGGTCAATTTTTAGAATAAACCTTGTGACTTTTGGTTAATCTTTCTGTGAATGAGGCGGCAGCAGAAACTTTTTCTGAGAGCTGATCCGTATGGAATGACATCTGTAAACATAAACTGACTCCTGGACATTTCTATTGCTAGAGTTTAAAATACTGCAGATGGTTCCTACCACTAACAGAAGCTCTCATTTCTCCGTTTTAGGCTGACCAGATTTCTGGTTTTCACATAAGGTCTGTCCTGTGTGTTCCTATCTGGAACAGCAACCACCAAATAATCGGTAAGACCTTCCTCATAGCTGCATCATTTTTGTGCTACTGTAAGCTTAACTCTATCTTTTTAATTGTATGTTCCTTTTTCTTCATTTTCCCAGCTGAATATTGTTACGAAGTTATGCTACCTAGGATGCATGCTAAGTATCCAAGAAGGGATGTTTTGACTTTGGATACTGTATGGACTTTTTCAGCTTTCCCATAGTGCTGCTGTTAAGTGATATATCGTGTTGAAATGTGAGATGGGATGAAAGCAGAAATTCTAACAGCATTAGTGAAAAATGTTTGACGTGCTCTGATACTTTTCTCGGGTCTCCCTTCTTTTGTACACACTCGGGCAACAGTTTCTGTGGTCCAGCAAAGTGGTCATTTCCCTCGCTAATGACAAACTGCGCAGCCAGGGAAGCCTCTCGTGCCGGAGAGGCAGTGGCAGCTGTCCGAATTGCCTGTGGCAGTGGCGTGTGCTGGATCAGGACGCACAGGATTTTAGTGCTTGTTTGACAGTGTGCTTCTCAGCTATGATACGCCTGCCACTGGCCCTGCATTACACCTGCTTTTGGCACAAAAATGAGGGCCATTTGTAAATAACAGTGCCAGATTCCTCTGTGTAACTTTCCACAGAAGAATTCAAGTCAAAGCAATAGTGGTTTAAACCGTCCGGGCAAGACTTGCATCCCTGCGTGGTGTGGCTGTCAGTGAGAGCCAAGATCAGGCATGCAGTGCTGAAGGCACTCAGTGCCGTGTGGGATCAGGATCTTTGAGCTTATTCAGCAGGGGTGATATGGAAGCGCATATTAGCTAGAAGAAGTAGAAAGAAACTGAACCCTTGACTGCTGATAGCTCTTACAGTAGTTTTCGTAAAGGCAGATTGTAGCCAAAAGAAATAGAAATGGTTTGTTGCAGTAGAACTCAGTATTACTTCAGCTGAAGCCAAGACTGTTGAACACTTTTTCAAGATGGTTTAAGGAAATTAATTTTTTTTTAATTGTTTCTATATATTTATGGACCAGTCATGGACAAAAAGAGGCTTACATACCCAGGTGATGCCAAACCACTGAAGATTTTAGGAATGAAGGCATTGATTGAGCAAATTATATTAGCAACTCTGGATTGCTAGGACAACTTACATGATTGCTTTTAGCAAAGTCCTCAAGTTCTATCCCAAAGAGATCTTTAACCTTTTGTGAAGAGCATTGCGAGTAACTTCTAGACTTGCAGTGTTGTACTTGGAGCATTTGGAAGGCAATAACTGAGTCCTGGTATCAAAACAATCAGACTTCCACATGCTTATGTCTGTTTAATGGTTTTCCAGAATAAATATTGGCAGTTTTGCTTTTCAGTTTGAAAGACATATTTTAAATGTTACCAGCAAATAGAATATTTGGCATTGTGAATTAATGAATGGAGATTATAATTAGTATTAACTCTTTCTAAAGGGGTAGCTCAAGTGTTGAACAGGCTCGATGGGAAACCCTTTGACGATGCTGACCAGCGGCTGTTTGAAGTAAGAGACATTCCAATTTCTAGCAATAACATACTTTTTCATCAGGATTTGGTATTTCTGGGTAATGCTGCTTCAGCCTACTCTAGGGAGGGGGAAAGAATGTTGTCTGTATTTGTGGTTTCACATTAATTCTCAGAATTCCTCACTTTATAAGGTTGCATCCTAATTATAAAATAAGTTTCTTGTATCTTTCTCATCTTGTTGAGGCCAGTGACTTACCTGCATTCTCAACATAACCTGTCTAAGCATGAGTATTCCTAATATTTGCATGCAGTTCCTTTTGATGAGTAAACCAGCATTCATCTTTGTTATAATTGAATTATAATTTACTTTCTTTTCTTTTTTCTCTGTGATTTTAGGCTTTCGTTATTTTTTGCGGCCTAGGCATCAACAACACAATTATGTATGACCAAGTGAAGAAATCCTGGGCAAAACAATCTGTGGCTCTTGATGTATGTGTACATCTTAATGAAACCTTGCTCATGAGTGTCACGTGTAAAGGAGCCTAGTGCTTCTAAATTTATTGTAGTTAGCATCATTTTCTCTGTCTACCTCTCTGCATTTTAGTGTTGTCTTTCTAAGGCAGTGCTGAAGGGAAACTCTCAGGGCACACTTAGCTATGGATCTCATGAACAGCTGAAGTAATTTTGAACCTGGGTATCTCATTTGATGCCTATGGTTTTTACATTAGAAGGAGGGACAGTGATGATGGAGAACGTAGTTTCTTACAGATGTAAGTGTAGGAATTAATCTAGGCATTATGTGTATTTTCTTGTCCATCAGTAGCTGAAAATTCCTTGCAGTTTCATAATTGAGAGAGCTTGTTGTTTTTCTAGTGTCATAAAGTATGAGTGAAATGTACTGTGAACAGGACAAAATTTGAAAAAAGTGATCATCATCATCATAGGAGGTTTTTAGTATCAAAAGCAGCACCTGCTTAACCCTTATCAGATATGGCTTTTGCTGAATAGTCAGAGCAGGATGGCTGGCAGCTCAGTGAGAGCTCTGCTGTGGGTTAAGGTCCATACATAATGCCAGGTCTGGCATTCCAGCACATCAAGTCCTTCTGTAAAATACATACAGAGTAGCTAAATGGATGGAAAGGTTTCTCTTGTTTCTGTCTCATGCCTTTGTAGGAATTTCTTTTCCTGTTTCCACCTCTGCTTCATGAAGAATGAGATCTAGCAACTCCTGTAAAACAAACTTTAAAAGGCACAATATTTTTAAAAATATGATATTTTTTAAACTTCTGTAAGCAGATTCAATAATAAAGCACTCTCGTCTATTAGATTCTGGAGATTTTAATCATAATCATATTAACAATAATCTTGGTGAGAACAAAGCTGGGAGTTTTTAGGATAGCTTTTCAAATTTACACAATTCCTACTAAAACAATAATTAAGAATGGTTTGAATGAAATCTGAGATCTTTTAAAAAGCATTATGCAAGACTGATTAATCTTAAAACATACCTCCAGTGAAAGGGTGATGCTGCTAAGATTTCTGTATTACTTTAAATTTCATATGTGATAAGAGAAGAAAAAGATCTCGCTGTCCCTGATGCGTGCACCCTTTAACTGTAACTCCATTGAGTTTATACAGTACCCACCATTACAACATGAATGGCATGATGGAGATATGAATTTCTCTGTACTAAACCAAAAATTAAACCAAACTGGATTGCTAGGAAGATGGCATATATTTTTCCTTTTCTTTAGGGTTGGAGATATTTATTGCGGATCTATCCTGTAAAGCACATAGACATGTTAAATCTCTTTGAAGTCAATAGGACTGTTTGTGTTAGGAAACATTATAAGTTGCTTTTTTATTATCCCTGTACATGTATTCATTTAGGAGGAAAAGTTAAAAACTTTCCTTTTCAGGCCTCCTGCAGAATTCCTTACTCTTTACATATCATGGGGTTGTGAATGACTATAAACCCTCGTATGGCCCAGATGTTTGTGCAGTATTACATCTTAGAATAAATAGTCCTTCTGGCAAGAAAAACCAAGCAGTGCCAGATATCACACTTTGTTAACTTTCATCCCTGTGTATCCACTAAGTTTGTTATTTACTACTAAAATCAAGGATTTTTATATTTCTTGGTTTAAAACACTGGCTTCTTTCTTTGATCTAAAAAAGACTCGTAGCCATATAGCTTGAATGTACATTATAGGTTTGATGAATGGCCACTATACTTCAGTGAAGAGTAATTCTTTCAATGAATGAGCTACAACTCATGATAATATTTGTGTAAAGTGATTGAAGATACAGTGGAAAAGTACTGAACAAAAGAATGGTATATGCTAAAGGGACTCTGGATCCATTTTTCAGTAGCAGAATACTTCATTAGCATTTGTGTATTAGCTAGGATGGCAATGAGTGGCATTTGAAAGTTGACATCAATATCAGATGTCAAATAAATCAGTTTGATATATACCATAATAAGTTTCTTATCCAGATGTACAGATACTGGTTTTCATGTAGAATTCTCATAAGATTGACCCATAAGCAGAAGACTAAAGTAAATAAATTATGAGGAAAGGTTGACAGTAGGATGACATATGGTTTAGAACCAAATTTTAAATACTGTTTTATATATTAATAATTTTGCAAATTTTGCATCTTTAAAAGATCAAATTAATATTAAGGAAGCCTGAAGATCTAGAGGGGTATAATGAGAACATTGGTGAGAATTTTGGTATTAAGTATAATCTATCATAGCAGAAGGCAATTTTACTAATCTTACAGATTGCTGAGAGAAGCTATGATATGGTTGGACAGAAAAATAGGCACTATTTGAGGAAGGACATGATGTATGGTTATAGAAAGTAAGGCGTGGGACAGAACATGTACATTGGTGTTTGTTATTTATTCTTTTATAGTGCAGGAATGATTTCCTGTACTGTAAAAGATGACACCTCTAAAATTGATATAACTAAATACATCTTTGGACTTATTGCCACAAGGTATTGCAAGCCAAGGGCATTTGAGAGAGACTTCAGATATTTGTATGAGTAACAGAGACATTAATAGATGAAAACAATTTCAAAATGAGAAATAGATGTCAGAGCTTTGGCGCATAAGCAGATCAGGTGTTGCTGTGTGGTGAGGAGGACCTGTCCTTGCCAGGAGCGCTCTGGCTCTGTGAGCTTCCTCCTGGACCAGCACCTCATCCCACATGTAGTCAGACCTTGGTGTGTCCAGTACACAGGGTGGCTCTTGCACCTTCTGCGGTGATTGTCCAGTGCTGGTATGGTCACAGAAGGCTATAATGCATGCCATGTAAATGCGTGCATCCTTACAGGCAAAAAAGAGGAAGTGTGCAGTACTCTGTGCTTTGTGTTTGATGTTTTCATCTCCAGAATGCTCTTGAAGAGAATGTCAGGCATAGAGGAGCTCATTTGCATGCAGTGATGTGCCACTAGCAAAGGCAGTAAAGCTTTACAGTATAGCAAAAGGCATTATTTAAAGTCTGTAAATCTACTGTTATTTTTACATTAAATTCTTTCTCTTTTAATTGTAGAACTCCGGGAGAACAATGTCGGAATGCTTGTAATATTAAATTACTTACCCTCCATGATTCCCTATAAAATTCCCTGCAACATAAATGCCAAATGTATACCTGATAACCTGCAATTAGTTATTATATGCTGACTTTCAGAACTGAATTACCATGCATAAATATTATTTTTTTTAAACATCATTGATTAGACTGCAGTACAGAGCCCTATTATTTCTACTTGTCAAGTCTACACAAATGTTTTTTTGTCTTTTATTCCGGGGCAGGTGTTATCTTATCATGCAACATGTTCGAAGGCAGAAGTTGATAAATTTAAGGTAAGAATTTAAGGTTTTAGTTATTTCTAAAAATATAACAGTAAATTAAAATGGCTGTAGATTATCTGAGAGAGAAGGTTTACATCAAAAGCAGAATATCATAATTAATAATGAGTTACAAAGGATGTATTATTACATGTTAGGCTGTTAGGCAGTGAAGGTGGAAAAAACCCCCACCTTTTAGAGGTTAAAGAGCTGCAGTGCTGGGTGCGCAGCCACAAAATACCATTGTCCCCGCACCAGCTGCTAGACCTGCACATCGGTGTGGGTTTGGTGGCTTCCTCAGCAAGAACCACCATAGGGAAGACCTACCACAGTGGGAGGTGAGGAAGAGACTAGGGAAAATGAGAGGAACTTGAGACTTTACACGCTTTCGGTGTGGAAGCGATCCTGTGATTACTATGCAAGCAGAGCATTCACTATCGAGGCTGTGCATAGGTTCAGAAGGCTGGATGTGAAGGTGAGAAATCCTCTTCTATCTTCTGTAAGCGCCCTGGGAAGAACTGTGAAGCGATGTGTGCTGAACGTAGCATCGCTAGGGACCGGTAACTGTGTTCTTGCTGAATCCTGCCTTGCCAAGGTGTAGAGTAGGGGGAACGGTGAGCTTGCTCTTTCATCACTGCCAGCACTCCAGAGCTGATTTTGTGACAGGCTTTGTTTGTCCTTTTCTGATTGAGGAAACACTAGGGAAACTTGGTGGCACTTGCCTTGGCTATGAGGAGTCAGTGTCACAGAGGGCTTCTCAGAGCTCTTCGGGAGGCTCTCGTGCAGGGTATTGGTGCTGGTATCCTGTACACAACATGCTTCGGAGATAGTGTCGAGGTCTGGAAGGAGATCTGGACTGTTGTGACCCTGCACTGCTGGTGTTCCCTGCTGTGGCTCCCTGGCACCTACCTGGCTGAAAAATATCTGTCTGATGGTTGTGTTCACACTTGGCTGAGTGGCTGCAACCTGCTCTGTGCCATTGGGATGGTTGTGGTGGAAGGGGGAAGCCATGGGTGACTTAGCAGAGCTGATACTGGTGAGTTACCTGGGTTGAGGGAAGGGTAGCTGCTGCAAGTTAGTTCATTAGTTTGTGGATTATTGCTCAAAAGATGCCTGTGCCTTAGAACTCTGTTGATACCTGGTGATAAGGGTGTAATATTCTCCCCCATTTGTAGGTACTGGGGCTGTTACCTGCCCTTTTGTAAACTGAAGATTAGATTACTGAAATATTGCTGGAATCAAACATTCTTGAAGAACATTCCAGCAGTGCAGACAGCAGAAAATACTATTGTGTGCTTAATATGTTATGTCTTATGTTTGGCAAAAGGTACACTGTGTGAGAGAGTGGAAAGAAAGGAATAAAGGGCCATAAATATTTTTTCTTTACCATTTTTTTAAAATTTTAGTTTCTCTTAGAATAAGCACCTGTAATACAGCTTCTGTGACTGTCAGGACTCACCCAATATCTTTCTACATACCAGAGGCCCATACTTCTTGGTTGCTCTCAGTCCTTGAAAGACAATTCTCTGTCATGGTCTGTGTCGTTGAAATAAAAGCCTGCTACGGTACTCTTTGGACCTAGATATGAGTGTGATGACGAGTTATTCTGCTTGCTTTCCTGGGAGTCTTCATGAATAGATTTGCCGGTCTCCAAGAAAGGCAAGTCTTGTCATCATCCATTTATCTTGAAGACATGTAACTACCCATTTAATGGTTAATGATAAGGTAAAGGGAAATGAAAAGCATGTATTCATTAATAACCCAAATAGATATGTTTTCATGAAGAACATAGATGAGGAATGTAACCAATTTACATTTAAACTAAGCTGAGATGCTTTTTCCCTTTCCTATATCCAGTTATCTTGCTTGTAATTATTGACAAAATGAGTGCCAAGTAGTTTTTGTTAATGCTTTACACCACTGATTGTAAACAAACGTAACAAAAACCCAGAGAGGACCCAGTGCATCTTGTGGGCCGTGGACAGCGAGCTCATTCCCAAAGAGGCCATCCATCCATGGGATGAAATTGCTCCCATCTCCCCCCTTGCAGAGCTCTTGGCAGCTGGTCTCCCTGCTGAGGTCTCCTGGGGCATCCTACCCTGAAATCACTGCGCTTCTCTCTGTTTATGATATTGTTATATTTTGTATAAGCTCTTTTGTTATATTAGGGTCATCTTCTAGACTTGACTGGCTAATAAACAATTCCTCCCTCTGAGGGTATTTGGGGCTAAAACAATCCCCTGTCCCTTTGGTGATTTATTGGCAGATGTCATAGGAAATGTGCACTACAATTTCCCCGATGTTCTAGTTCAGTCAGAACTAGAGCAAAGACACAACAGAAACATCTAAATGAGAGTAATGCCAGTAGTTCACTACTGGCTCTTGACTGACATGTGACCTGACAGTAGTTAATGACTTTGGAGTGACAATACTTTTGAGTTGACAACTTTTCAGCATATTACCCCAAACATACTGTAACTGGACCCCAGTTCAAAATAATTATGTATTCTTCCCCCTAGTTCAAGTTATTTCCGTCTTTGTGATCTTATTTTTTTAGCCTAAGATCTCAAGAATATTCTGATACAAAGTGAAAAATTGCATGTTTACTTGAAGTTTATTTTTCCTCAAGCTTTTACCAGTGAGTTAATTTTATTGCATTACAGAAAGCCTAGCAAGACTAGTTAAAGTTGATTTTCTTCTACTAGAAGTTTTGTCAATAATTTCCTACTGTTATTAGATGAATTCACAAATATACCTGCTATCTTTTTAAGAATTAAATGTAATCACTGTGAGCAGGTTCTGTGAAATAAATAACACTTATTTCTGTTGCTACTAATTCTGTCTAAGAATTAACAAAACAGAAAAAACAAACAAAACCACAACAAAACACCCAAACAAAAAACACCCCACCTTAATAATAAACCCCTAAGAAATTAAATACCTTTCTCCAGATGCTAGGATAGGAAAAAGTGCAGAGCACCACTGATTGTGGAGCTGGAAAATCTAGTGGGAAGTTCACAGTATAGAGCAATGAAAGGTGAGTGTATTTCTTCCCAGAGAGGGTGGTGAGGCACTGGAACAGGTTGCCCAGAGAAGCTGTGGATGCCCCATCCCTGGAAGTGTTCAAGGCCAGGCTGGATGAGGCTTTGAGCAACCTGGTCTAGTGGAAGGTGTCCCAAGGGGGGTTGAAACTAGATGGTCTTTAAGGTCCCTTCCAACCCAAACCATTCTGTGATTCTGTGATAACGGACCGTGTCATGCAGATGGCCTATTCTGTATATGATTTCTACAATTGTCTAAAAACAAAGCAGCAACATAGATTTACATGCAATGGGGGTTTTGCCTGGTTTTGAAGGGTTTACAGTTCTGCTGTATATAGCTTCTGGAATATAGCTTTCACTAATAAAAACCTGAAAGCCAAGTTTAAAAATGCTTATCTGATTAGAAATTATTCTATTAATGAATGGAATTTTTTTTCTCAGAAGAGAATATAATTATGTGTCATTACTGTAAAAATTCATGTCACCAGTCCTTTTCATTATTTGCATTAAAGCTTTTGGGATTCATTAGCACTTAGACTAGCAGGCACATGTTTCTCAGGAGGCCAGCAGGAGCAGGACCAGTATAAGGCTCAGATGCAGCGTAGGCAAGTGCAGCTCTGCTGACCTGGGTGGGGCCACCCACTCAGTCTGCTTCCCAGGGGAAGTGGGAATGAAAATTCATGCCCCTAACCCAGTGAGCTTGTTTTGGGGATGAGAAGGGGGATTGGCCCTCCAGGTAAACACAAGTGGGACTGCAGAGATCCATATGCAGAGCCTGAGGAAATCCCTTAGTCTCTGTGGGTGATAGTCTGGCTCCAGTGATGGCAGTGGGAGGTTTGACATTGATTTCACAAGGATGTCACTGTCTTCAGCTTTGTTTGGCATTTGTAAAATTGCACAGTAACCTTCCCTCTGTCAGCTTCCATCTATTTATACGTGGCAGCCAGCCTTTTGTATTGCGTTTTCTGATGGAACAAGATCTGTGAAAAAAGTTAAAATGTAAGATCTAGTCCTCTTCTTATGCTGGTTTAAAATGTACGCTGAGTGAAAACTGGAGTTGGCATGCAGTGTGAAACGGGTCCTTTTTCCTGAAAATGCCTAGGTTTTACAGTGGGGAAAACACATGGAAGCTTAATTGACAGAGTTTCAATAACAATTGAATCAGAATTAATTATTAATCAGAATTAATCACGGGGTATCTACCATTGTTCCTGTAACTGGGATACGTGCTGTACTTCCAGGTTCTAAGAGAGAGGATGTGGTTTTTATGAATGATTTATAGGTTTACAGCAAGAGCAGTGAAAATATACAGTGTATAAGTATTGTACATGGACCCTCTGATGCCAGGTTATTTTATATTTATTTGCTACTCAATATTTTTCAAATTTGATTTTTTTTTAAAAGATTTTATTTATGATGGCTTCAAAAAGAAATCATTTAAATCCAATATGCTGCTGAGTTCATATAAACTACATAATATTTTTTAGATTTTTCTGATACGTGCTGCATTGCTGTGATAGGTAGATTTCTGATACCATTGCTCCAGATATAGGGAGAAGAATTAAACTTTGCTTTTCATGGGCATTTGCATGTAAAACAAAACAAAACAACCTTGAGAGCACACATTTCTTGCGTACCTGAGAACATCTGTCAGAAGTCTTGAGGCTGATTTAACAAAATGTTTCTCCTCACTTGCATCCACGTAACTATACTAAATTCAAACTGAATTTTGGCAGGATAAGCTCTTGAAGTAATGCACCAATGAATCATACCCATATAATATTAGTTTTATTTTTTTTAAGAAGTTAGGTATGATTATAAAAACTATGGGAACTCTTGTTCTTCTCTCTTGTATTTTAGACTTGAAAGGCAATTCCATTATTTCCACTATGTGCTAGCGCTAGTGATTAGCCATACGCAGACTCGTGAAGTCTGATGTATCCAACGCTGTCCTACAGCGTTGTCCTGTAGTGC